ACAATGGCAAATTTTTTACTGATAACCCGAGAGCCTCTTGACGTGGGTGCGATAAGCACTTTGGTATCGCATGAGAAGTGTGGTGCGATTTCGTTATTTGTAGGTACTACTCGGAATTCTTTTGAAGGTAAAACGGTAAGTACTTGAAAATAAATTCAACTTCTGTTCGTTTGTATTAGCCAAGAATTTCCCACAGGTATGTTCGCTGGAGTATGAAGCTTATGAACCAATGGCTTATAAAGAACTACAAAATATATGTGCAGAACTACGTTCACGTTGGCAGGATATAATGAATATTGCAATGTACCATCGTCTTGGTTTAGTTGCGCCCAAAGAAGCAAGTGTCGTTGTAGCAATCGCATCGCCTCATAGACAGGCTTCTTTAGACGCAGTAGCATATGCAATTGAACAATTAAAGAAAAAAGTGCCCATTTGGAAAAAGGAAATGTATGACAATGGAGATTCAGATTGGAAGGAAAATAAAGAGTGTCAGTGGGTTGAGTGACTTTTGTGTAATGTTAAAGTTTTATTTTTATTTGAATATAATAAGTCTTACGCAAACACTTCAAGCTTTACAGCAATTGTCAGGATTTTGCAGGGAGCTGTTGCCGTACGCTACATAGTTGTACATAAGCTACCTAATTTCACACAAGTAAGCCGTTTTACCCGTAAACCCATTAAAACTCGCATGTCTTTGGGTATCTATGAGTGTTTTTTTCTAATAGCGGGCGCCTCTAGGAAGGCAAAGGCAAGCCTCCGAGCGCATTTCTGCTTATAATAAAAATACAATCGCAGTTCGAAGTCGACGTAAAGCTGTAGGTCCCTCCCCTTTGTGTAATAACATGCACGCCATAAATCGGAGCGGAAGCTCGGCTAAACACTAATGGCCTTATTCATAAAAAATAAAGTAAGTTTAAAGAGCTTTATAAACTGACGTTTTCATACATTTTTCCATTTATAAACCTTTTATAAAGCTACTTTATTGTTTATGAATAAGGGCATAACCCTGCAAGAACAGNGTCAAAGCGATTATTGTAGCATACCCTCTGCGTTTTGCGCTTTGTTGTCAAAGTTTGAACTGTCAAGCAAAGCGAAAAATCTGATGTAAACATTTGTGTACATGTGATCTTCCGTTTTCCTCTAACTTATGGCCTTATTTAATGGTCTCTTTTTAACCAACGAAAAATTTGCAAATGTTGTTAGTAAGATAAATGAGAACGTATTAGTTTCCATCACACTATTCTCTTAGGGAAGCTTTCATTTGATATACAACATCATGTCTTCAGTCCGTACTAAACATAGTATTTAAACAAAACGTAGGCGGCCTTCGGCCGCACTTAGGGATTCTAACCCTCACTAAGTAGAATTCTCTATTCTGTGTTGCGAAAGAGAACGGGATGAACACTTTTAGCAGAAATCACCTTTCTGCGTAGGCGGCTTTCGACTAGAATTCTCCTTTCTACGTTGCCGCACCTTATGTGACTAAACTACAGTAAATATAGGCTGCATTTCTTTATTCATTCTGAACGTTTGGAATAAGCTTTTTTGTTTATTTATTCTTTAGAACGTTCCTGTTGATATGTTGACGTATATTTCAAACGCATTCTGTTTATTCCGGCTGTGAAATGGGATTATCCGGAATGTATAAAGAAACGCAGCCAAAAGATTGTCACTTCCTTATAAACGCATTCTAATTTTTTATTATCACTGAATTCTTAAAAGTGTGTTTGCATTGTTCAACTTTGCGTTCAACATTTGCGCTCAACTCAGCGCAGGGTTGCACGAAAAAAAAGTTGAATGGCTAAAAATATCAAAATATGAAAAAATATCAAAATATTCGCCATAAAAAGGTGTTTGCATTGTTCAACTTTGCATTCAACTTTTGGTTGAATGGCCTTTCAACTAATCGCTTTCAACAAAGTTGGTCAACCCTGCGTTGAGTTGAACGCAATTGTTGAACGCAAAGTTGAATAATGCAAACACTGCTTAAGCCTCAAAAGCAGATCATAATAAAATATTTATATCAAATTAAAGGTAAAAGGTAATTTTATGAAAAAAATTAGCAGATTTTTTTAATTTATTAATATTTTGGGCCTTAAGATATGAAAAATAATATAAACTAGATACATGAGCTGAGAGAAAAGTAAATTACCTTTATTTTGACACATTAATTTTTTTAATCGGTTATGTAGTTCATACGATATTAATATTAAAAAAAAATCTAAAAAATAACTTTCAACACTAAATATCTTGAAAACTAGAAGGCCCCGACCCCTAAAAGCGGGTATATTTGAAAAGTAGAGAAGCCCAGCTTTCTAATTGCAAAGTCAAAATTTGTCGCTCCGGTTATCTTAATCTCCCCTATATCAGAGCTTATATTTTGCCATATATTGCCGGCGATTTGGTAGTTTGACAGCTACATTTTCATTTGTACGAAAGCTTCGTGGCGGCAAGAATGATAGAATACAAGATTGCGCCGTCCTGGGCGTTGACATTTGTGTACCACAAGTAAACAAAGAATAGAGCGAAAAGAAGAACGAGTTGAGACTGCCAAAGCAGTTCACTTTACAGCGAAAAACGTGTTTTAATTTTGCTAAATGCGAAAATATTGCATTTTTCACCTAATCTATTAGAGAACAGTGAATATTTTAGTGCACTCCATTGCTTTGCAATTGAGGCTGCTTCAGTAAACGTTTTAGTGCACTCCATTGCTTTGCATTTAAGGCTGCTGCAGAAAACTGCGGCATCTCAGCGGGATTGATTGGTTAACTTGCTAATGGAGGCTGCTTGGAGCAGAAGCAAAATCATTGTGAGGAAAGGCTGTTAATGTAATAATAAAGAAACATTTTGAGAACGGCTTTGCCGTGCCCTAGGTACACAAGATGCAGTGAGTCGTTCCAGCGCTACACTAGCATCTACGCTTCTTGCATCTTGACGGCTGTCGCAATTTAACACACGTCACTTCATTGTATTAGTTTTTACGCAGTCTTCATCTCAAAAATCACTCACAAATTGCAAATTAACACAATTTAAACTGATTTTTCACTTATAATTCAAATTTCTCTTTCGCTGATTTGTAAACAAAGGTTTATTTACAAGTTACCACAAGTGTCAAAATCGGCAAAACCAAAGTAGCGGTACCACTGACGGCGCCACCTTTGTTCGCTGCACCGTGTCGTGGCGGTACCATTATTGATATTTTAATATAAGGCTTGTTCCACACGAGCCCGCGGGATCCTGCATGTGCTCAAAACAGCCTAGAAAGCGTTCCTCACGCTAAAAAAAAGGGTAATAGAGAGCCAATATGCTTCACTCATGATTCAATAATACAAGGTTCGATAAACTGACAGTTGTCTCTCTCGCACCGCTCCCTTAGTAGTGGCACAGTGTTGCTTCTTTGCAAATTCACTTGGAAAAAGTGTAGCTTTGCTGTGAAATAGAAGTATAAGCTTTTGTGCAATATGTTTATTTATATATGCATATGAAGCACATTTCACTAATGAAAACATAAATTGTTTTTAAATTGTATGTGTACATAAATCTCATAGTAGTTTTATTTTAATTTTGAGTCCTTTTGCATTTTTAATACAGCTAAATAGCACATGAATTACGTAATTCACGTAGATGTATTAATATTTCGTTCAATATTTCGTTTAAACTGCCAGATTTCCTGCAAGTACATTAGAATTTTAAACTACTACTAATTGCGTACTTTTCTAGTACCATGTTTGCAACAAGGGATTGCATTCTTCCCCTTTCTCTGTCCTTCTTAAATGCAGCCTTTTGTAAGGGAATGTCAAACCGTGGCTGTCAATAATTATCTAACTTTGTATTATTGAATCATGTGCTTCACTTTTGGATCGCAAATGTCTTCTTCTTTGTACACGAAACAGCCCGCATTTTTTCTCGGGCACAGATGTGCCAATAAATGTGAAATAACAGATGTTGTAGTTTAAATCCGAAAGCAAATTTTATAAAACACAAAAGTGGAAAACACTACAGAATTTTCAGAAAATGTAGTCATTTGATAATTACATTTGCCATATAAGATATATACACGTAAAATAATTGTTTAGAACTGATTTGTTGATTCCTGGCACGAAACGTGGTGTTGTGCGTTCCTCACGCTCTAGGCATTTTTGGCACGTGTTGACACATTTTTGACGCTTGTGAGAGAGTAACTTATTTTTACGCTCTAATTACCGGAGCAGCTCGGATAGCGTGTGAAACTAAGCTATAAAAGCAAAAATTGAACTGTTTGCTGTCAATTTTTATTTCTATGCACCAATGCTAACCAATAACAAAGGAAGCATCCACTTTGTTTCTGATGCGCTGATTGCTCTAGCGATGCGTTTCGATAGCTTTTCGGCTACGTTTTGTAACAGTACACATTGTCAATATTTTGTAGTTCGATGTTATACAACCTTATACTTTGTACGTATGCAAAGCAATTGACGTTTTAGAAGTCAGCCAATATTTGTCATTATGTACTTCGATGCAAACAAGTATATTTTTTAAATTTTTAAGTGATTTAAACCGGAAAAAATGCGTTTTAGAAGCTATCTTACAAATGCTTATATCAAAATATAAAGAGCCCACGCAAATATTGCCACTGATATAACTTATATCTAGCGACCAAAATCACAGTTGGATAGCAATAAATTTTATCCTATGGAGACGGCCAGTTAGAAACATAATTAGCTCAGTTGCAGTATTTTATTAACCTTTGTACAATTTTGTTAACAACATATTTTGTTGTTGTTGTCTTTCCTGTACGCAACGAGTGATCCCGCGGGTGCCAAAAAATAGCCCAGAAATCATACCCGTACTCAACAAATGGGTAATTGAGAGCGAAAATTGGAACATATTGGATCGCAAGTGTCTTCTTCTTCCTACCCGAAACAGCTCCGGGTAAAAATGGATAAAGTGTAAAAGTGCATATCATCTTTTTTGTGTTTTCATGTTGTCTGAATTTACTTGGTGCTTTTAACGAATAGTGAATGGCCTGTTGATGTATTTTAAATCTTAGTTGAATTTGTGAAGCCAAAGTTCAATTTCCAAGTGTTTGCATTTAAGTGAAAAAACAAAAACAACGCGAATCAGCTGATTCTCAAATTCTGGGCACGAAATGTGGTTTTTAGCGTTCCCGTTCTTCTGGACTTTGTTCCATTTTTGAGACCAAATTTTTCGCTTATTCTCTAATCACCGGAAGCGGTTCGGATCGCTAGGGAACGAACCTATTATCTGGAAAATCCTACCGTCCCCTGGTTAAAAGTTTGTCGTATGTTAATTTCGGCAGGTTATGGGAAAGGGCGATTGAAGTTTGGAATGAAATTTATCAAAAAACGCGAAGATGGATTTTCTCCAAAGTCTCTGCAAATGTTACTAGTTCACAAAATTCTTAACACCCCTATTCTACAACTCTTTCGTATTCGGATTTCGCTACGAATCGTAGAAATAGTATGCTGCAATCCGAATCGTATTTTCGAACTTTCGAAATTCGTAACAATGACATGCC